CCCCCCCCCCCCCGCCCCCCCGCGCCGGGGTGGCCTAGGTTGGACGATGGGCCTGATTTACGGTAGTCTGTCTGCTCTCCGCTGTGTTTGTCCGCTGTGTGTGTGCTTTTTTCTTTATTTTATATATTTCTGTCAGGCTTGGTCGTTTTGCAAAAATACACGGTTGAGGATGGGAAAGGGGACCGGAAGAAGAGATGTATGTTGTGTACGGCGTGGGCGTTCTCCTCTTGTTTATTTTTATTAAAAAAAAAAAAACGAAACATAACAACCAAAACCCTGCGTTTCCTGCGTTTTGTTCTATTTTGTTCTCCCGCTGCGGCGATCCTGCGGAGTCCCCTTTGTGTTCCCGCCCTTTACCTCGTCTCCCTTGTTTTTAGATGCACGTCCGCAGGTCCAAGAACTTGAAATGACGTTCGCGGAGGGATCGTCCTAACGGAGTTTTAAGGTTTCGGTTGATCTTCCTCGGTGTGCGGCATTAACCGGTCATAAGAACGGAGACGGACCAGAAAATTGTGAGCCTTCTTAGCACAGTGGTAGTGCGTCTGCCTCGTAAGCAGAAGGTCGAGTGTTCGATCCACTCAGAAGGCAATAGTTGCTTCCGTCGGTACCCAGTTCGCTTTTTTTCTGCGCGTTCGTGGTGGATCTTTTTTTGACGTTTGTAGGTGATTGTGGATAATGGGTGCATGGACAAGGCCGTCTATAAGTACGTTCGCATATTCACTGTGGTGCGATACGTTCGGGTTGGTTTAATTGTTTTCATTCCGTCCATGGTGCAAAGAAGTGGTGCGCGCTCTCAGTTACGAATGGTGGGCAACGAGCCTACCTATCCAATGATCAAACGTGCTATGAATTTTACTGGTGCAAAAGACTCTTTTAGAACCACACATCCAGCCCTGTTGTGATCCCTATTGGCTCATCTAATGTTGCGCGTCGTTTTGCTTTCATTTAAAAAATAGCAAGCCTGTTTCAATTGACTGGACTCATCATCCTCACTTGCACCATTAAATGTGTTGTTTGATTCGCAGATAATCAAAGAGTGTGTAGCGCGACTTTTTGCAGTACTCCCTCAGGCCATGGGTACGTGGGACAGCGACGAGATGCCAAAATGCGGAATATGCAAGTACCCTTGAGAAAATGAATGAAAGCTCTCAAGAATATGTTAAGAAGGTATTACCCATTTCGCAGGCTCTGGTCACCACGGATTGCTTTCGGGTCCAGCATCATGGCAGCCCTTTGTGGGGTACTTTTTGTTGGCCGGCGTTCCATCGCCTACAGCTGTAGCATTTGGAATGCCACTGCAGGGTGCGTGCCAGCGTGCCCCCGCATCCTTTCCCAACTTTGCGTGGAACTTTGAGTTGTCAAGGAAAGTGCTGCGTGCCAAAAGAAATTAATCGATGGAGCGGGGAATGGTTGGTGTAGCCTGTGTTTGCGGTGACCCAAAGACGAAGACACCGACACGGAGTCATCGTTGTACGATGACTGCGTGTTCTGGACGTGGATTAGGTAGTATGCTTTTTTTCTTGAGAGAGCACACCGCCAGAAAAAAGGTTATTACAACAAAAAGGGTCAGAATTGTGCGTCCCGGTCCATATGACGGGACCGCGCTTCCGCGTAGTTGTGCGCCCCGTTGCGCCTGATGCAGCCCATACAACCATATCCATTGCATAGTTCAACAGAGGTGCAGTAATAGCCCTTGAGGCGGGCACATCCTTACGTAGCACGCAGTGAGGACGGAGAGACTGGCAAAAGCTGAAACAAAACTTCGCATCCGAGGGTTCTCCCTGGAATTGGGTATCCAAGGCCATGCAACCCCTGTTTCTTTTCTGATGTTTCTCTTTTTTCGGGCGTCTACACGACCATTGCAAAGTTCAAGAGGTAGGCAGTAATAGGCCTGGAGGCGTGCGCGCACATCCCTACGTACGGAGCTCAATAGGAATGGAAAGAGAGGCTGGCAAAGCGTGAGCGAGGGTTCGCCCTGAAGTTGGGTATCCGACCCACTCTGGTCGCTTTTCCAAAGCGTCTATCTTTTTTTCATGCGTCTACACAAATTGCCAGTTCACTGGCATCGAAACGGCACTTGCTATCACGGATTGTTTTCAAGTCCGAGCATGATAGCAACACCGTGGCGGGAACGCTTCTCTTTGATTTTTGTTGTTGCATATTCCAATATTCAGGGCAGAATATCAGAGACAAACCGTCCCACCAAATGAGTGGAAGTTCACGGGTTGCTCACAAAGTGCGACAGTTCTTACTGTAGGTGTTCTGTGCAGAAAGGAACGATCCCCAGCAGTGCGCGCGACCCGACCAGAAAGCAACGGGGCCACGTTCTGTTATCGAACTCGTTACTTTTTTCTTTTCTTCACAAGAGCACACCGCAAAAAAAAGGTTCCGTCAAAATCATGACGCTCAAAGTGCGTTCTCGTGCATCTACGGGAAGGGCGCATCCGCACAACTATTAAAGTTCGCAAGGGATACAGTGGTATCCATCAGGATACGGGCACGCACACCTTCCGCAGGTTTGTCACGCACGACAAATGTACTGACGCCCAATCAGTCCTGCTAGTTCACCGAAACATGGCAGCCGCACATACAGAAAGTGTTATCTCCAGACCAAACGTTGGTATTATCTAAATAACCGCGTGCGAAAGCGGTTCCCCATCTTGCGCGGTGAAGGAAACTCTCGGAGACGTTTCCAATCTCCCACAAGACGCCTCTACTTACATCACGATTAGACGAAGGGGCACCTCCTCGCCGGCGAATTGCGAAAAATATGCTACTTGCTATCAGAAAGGTCACGTCGCATTCAATGGTTCGCCGTTGGGTTGGGTATCCAAACCACGACGGTGTCGATTTGATGGTGGTATTTTCCAAATTTTTTCATTCACCACCTTCGTGACCCGTTGTAATGAAAGTGATTTGAACCACAAAAAAAGTACCGTAGAGATTAGCAAGGTAGAACCTAACCGCGCCTGGTATTGACAGTCAGCGGATTTCATCGCGTCGCTCCGTCAGCATGGCTGCTACCACTGGATGCCATTCAGTCCACATGTGCGTGGTATAGTGCAAATTCCAGAGATTCCAGCAGGTCTGCAAAATGACATCCTTCTTCTTGTGTGGTTTAGCCTATCGTGAATGGTCACAAAGAAGTTACGACTTTCATGGAGTTTCAGCGTTCTAATGGCACGCCACGAATTCTCTCGTTTGCTTCTACAAGGCGGTCCTACTGTGCTGTGTCAGAGGTTCTTACCAAACACCACAATTGGAACTGGCTCAACCAAATGTGAACAATGGGCGATCGTCTCTCCCATCAACGACCAATTCATCACTTGTTGAGCCACCTCTTCTTTTTTTCCACGGAAATTGAACATCGCGCAGGGCCAGGCAAGGTATGAGCCACACAACCTGACACTCTCAGACAGGTGCTGTTGTAGGTTTAATGCTCATACAAAAGTTCAAATTACCGCATGGCATTCAAGAGACCGAACCGCATTTAAGAGAGGGCGGAAGGAGGTATCAACCCCGTTTCGACTGCTCCATTGAATGGTCGAAGAAATTTTTTGTCATTCTTGCGAACAAGGAAGCAAGTCCACTGACTTAGCCTACAGCGTTTTGCGTTTTGCAAGAACGTTATGCGGGGCGGGCCATCTCTGCCAGTGCATCCGCATCCACATCACCCCACATCACCCAAAGGAAAACGGACAAAAGAGCTCAGAAGCAGATCGAGGATGGGATGGGGTACCCGCATCATAGTGGGCAACTGCTGCTCACTTTGCATTTCCTCAAGTATCGTCCTCCGCATCATCGCAAATTTTTCGACTACCTTGCTGATGCAGCATCCATCCAAAATACACAACTGCCAACAAACTTTGCTAAGACGCTCCGTTCCCTATCCAAATCAACTGAAAAAAACGTTGCTTCCACGCGCAGTCAGCCCCAAGCTTGGATATCCACCGGGTTGGCTGGATACCCTCTCGGTTCGTTTGCCCACAAGACCCTTGCAACAAAACGTACGCAGCTGGTGCTTCGATCTGTCACATGCACAGGTCCCACCGAGATTCGAACTCCGGTCGCCAGATTTCTATCATGCTACTGCAGCCGTTGTTCAAAGTCTGGAGTGATGACCAGCTACACTATGGAACCTTTACATTGGGGGTACACACCCCGCCCGCCCACACCACGGTCCCTTCGCTTTTTTGCATTTATTTTTGCCCGCAGTACAAGATGCTGAAGGGCCAAGCAAAGCGGGCAACATCAGGGTCCAAACTCGAAACATAACTTGGTTTGTACGGTGTCCAAGTCCAAGGCATGTCCACAAAGGGACGTCCGCAGGTCAAGCGTTTCGAAGTTCTGTAAAAAGGATAGCATGCCCCATATTTCGTTCAAAACCCTTCCTGCTTTCCGCCAGCTTTAGCGTGAAATGAATGAAGTGACGAATTAATGTAATGAGCGCGTGAATTGCACTGCCGCCAGCAACGCATTTCACCCATTGATTGCCTCCGTCCGGAGTGAGTTGCCCGACGATAGGTCTGGGACATCCCTGGTGGTTGGCGGCTTCAATTCTAGACGGACCCATATGGGACGCTTTCGGAGGCTAGTAGCACGCCAACGTAATAAAAATCATTAACAAGGCCATTTTTTTTCTTTCGTTCGTTTTGACGGAAACTGCAGGGCTCGCTTACGGAGGAGGTTCCACCCCAGATCCTCATATTTAGTGCGTACAAGCAGCATAACCTGCATACACGTATCGTTGCTGGTCTCCCGAAACCGTCTTGACCCATAACCGTTGTTTCGGTGTCTCCCGCTGGCGTTTGCTTTTTTTTTTCCGTGGTACATTTTCCCGGAGTCCGTCACTATTCCACGCGATCCAAAGCACTAGACGAGGTAGAGAGAGCTGAGCCGTCCTATGTCGTTCCATGCCTGTATTCCAGTTTCACGCCACCCCAACCCGGCAAAAAATTCCTCGGAATGTGCTTCTTGGGGCTCACGCTGCGACCAGGAAGGAACCCGAAGGACGGGCAGCAACATGGTAGGCTATTCAATTACGCAAAGTCCTACGTGTTGTTTGCCGAGGTGTGGTAGCCTGTGGTGCGCTCACACAAACTTGCTGGGTATCCCCCCTTCATTTAAAGGAAATCAATAAGTCGGAGAACCCTCTCGTTGTTACCTATCGCACGTCTATGAAACGTGCGCCCTACCCCGCCTATGTAACCGTTGATAATAGAACGAGAATTGGGCCTGGAGGTTGGGTATCCAACTCCGTTCCGTCCTCCGTGATCGTTCCCAGGTTTTTTTGGGGTTCGGACGCGCACTGAATGATTCCCCCACCTGTCATTACGCGCACTGGAATCTCTGCACCTGGCATTCCCCATTACTGCCATCTATCACCTCGACCGGATCGCATCCTCCGTGTGTAAGTGCTGTTGGTGGTAAGTCCGCAACGGTTTGCCTCTACGTTATTCCACCCGACTGTGAGCGGTTCCAGAAATCCCATCAGCCGCGCTTGCAAGCCAGTTGTTATGGGACTTCTTTGTCGCAGCCGAGTTGTGGCGGGTGATAACCTCACTGACAAACGAGGGCGATGCACCAGCAATCAACGCTTGCTCATACACGGGTCGCACCATTCTGTTTGTTGACAAACAACGCGTACTTAGAGAAGATGATACAGTTGAACTGATGCCTGGCAGCCTACGAATCCGGGCACTCGTGCCTTGAAGATCGTAATCGACCAATGCTCCGTTTAATTTTTTTGTCATCAGGATACCGCTTCGAAGATAAGGTATCCATCGTAACCGAAAAAGCACCCACTTCGCAAACATTTATTGTCCCTCCCTCTTTTCAAAATGTATTTCAAGGGAGCGTGAAAAAAATCTACAATTCAGAGAAATGTTTCCTCAGGCCAGCGAAACCGGCTGGGAGCGTTGTAGTGCCAGGGCAAGCAAATGGGTTCCACTCTGCGCAGTCGACGCAGAAGGCTGAGCTGTTGGCAATAAAATCAGAAGAAACGGCCAAAGAAATGGCCTTCATGGTAAGCCAAAAATGTTTAGCGCACCATCCGTCTCGGTGAATAAAATAGTCGGCGTGTTGCTCCAAGTATCACGATATCATGGTTTTCAGCAATTTGACCGTCCTTGAGGGTTCCTGTTTCCGGAAAACCCCAATAAACAAAAGAAATGGACAGGACAGTACAGAGGAGGAAGAGGCACATTGACAATCGCATGGTTTGCATCGCTTGTTGTTGCTAATACCGCGTCGTGAAAGAAGACCACGGTTACTGGCAAAAGAAACCAATATTAGCGACGTAAAAAGAAGACCACCGTTACTGGTAAGAGAAACCAAAAAGTTACAGCACGCAGTATTCCCGTGTGGTCCCCCAGCACAGTACTGACTGCGCCATCACCAGCTTAACTTCGGAGATCGGACGGGATTAACTTCGGAGATCGGACGGGATCCGGTGTATTCTGGTGTGTGTGGCCGTAACTGGAATAAAGATGTTGTGAAAAATACTTATACAATGGACGCTTCGGTATCCCAAGTCAGGCACATATTGCTCATCCGTGCTTCTCTTTCAGCGTGTCCATCGTTTTTTTTTCGAAACTCCTCGAAAAGGTGAGTATCTATGACGATCTCCTCTTGGTGCAATTCTTAACACTCTGTTCTTGGCGCGGGTTTACCAAAACTTCCAACAAATGCAAAGAAAAACAACCAGTGTTCCTAGCACTCCGGCTGCGCTTGGTTCGGACGCATTCTGAATACCGTAACGGGCATATATAAATTCGATGCGACGGCGCGCATTTTCCGACCTACCGTTGAAACTTCCACTTCAATTTTCAAATCGACGTCAACGGGGGTATTTGACTGCCCACGACTTTGGTTTGACATCAACGATACTAGTCTCAAGGAAGCAGCACGCCTTTTTGAGGCTGGTGACTGGGGGGTTTGGGAGGCCTGCTACCGTACTGGCGAAAAGGTGGAAGCGCACCGTTGTACAAAATTAACTCTGAACCACATGCACCTTGCTCACACCGACATTGCGAGATTGTTCGATATGTGTTCATTGCCATGCGCTGCCACCACCGCTTCCACTGCTACTGATCGCATCATAAACGCACCATCCCGGAGCCCATATCCGCCATCCCTCAGAAACCCACACCCGCCTTCCCGCAATCCACCGCCATCCTTCAGAACCCCACACCCGCCTTCTCGTACTCCACCGCCATCCCTCAGAAACCCGTCTTTACAAGCCTATCCAACTTTCTTTCTTTGATGCCACATAACTGGGCGTGGAGCAGGTCTGAGACAGGAGCTCCACCTTCCTCGCAATCGCCACATCGGAAATCTCCTTGGGTATTTGTTGGTATGGTTTCCCAATCGATAGGCGTCGAAGTGTCTTCGCACCATTTATGAACGCGATGACATCCTCGTTTTTGTAAGGGTACCGTGTGTGCGTAGTGCCAAAGTGGCGGATGTTTGGCAAAAGGGGAACAATGGGGCAAGGGGGCAATTCTGATCGTTGGGGAACTGGATATGTTCGAGGTTCCTTCCCCGGTGTCGCAGAAAGTGGATTATATCTTTCTCTGCAATGGCATTGTTCTCTGCCGCGCCCCGCTCCATGTATCGCAAAATCTGAAGGACCCGTAGGTATGGCCCGGTCGCCAGATACTGGAAGCACCGAGTTGTGGCGATATCGCCGATCCAAAATCTGAGATCCTTCAAATTCAGGCATGATGAAGCAATGGTTCCTATCAGGTCATCTGAGACGTCGATTGTGAGGGAGAGGTAAACAAGTTGTTGCTGGGTGCTGATGAAACGGATAAGGGTATCTGTGACCTTCGTCTTCACAGATTGGAAGGCAAAGTGAACCAAATTCGGACAGTTCTCTGACAAACTCCGTAAAACGCGGCCAAATTGTCGTTTTTGTTGCTCCGTTTCAAGAGAGAGATCCAAGCTCAGGGACTCCAGTTTTGCACCCAACCCCGCCGCGAGCTTGTCCAGCACAATTCCATCGGAAGCAATCCCATCGGAAGACACTGGTATATCAATGGCCAAAGCCCTCAAGTTCCCAAGTCCCACTCGCCACGCTTCGTTTTCCTTCTTTTCATCCAACTCCAAATTCTCCCCCCATGCAACCGGCTCGTCTTTGAGCAGAAAACATTGCAAGGAAATCAAGGTTGGCAGGCTACGGAGTGCCACCAGCAAATTCAATGTGCTGACTTCGTAACCCAAGCACAAAACCCGGATCCCACTGAACATTGGGGTTGCAAATAGCAATCCCAGGTTATCCAGGGACTCACTCGGATCGTCAACTGAAAGATCCCGCACTTTTACCCCCCTTGTCACTTCAAGAGCCCATGGAAACGAAAAGTGGCGCGCCGTAGACGCCAGATCTCTGTGAGAATAATATTTCTTCCACAACTGCCTCCATGAGATGCGTCGCCATTCCCTATTGACAGAGCTGCAAGCTAACAGCGTGTCCCGTTGCTCATAGGGAATGTTGCGAACGATTAAGTTGAGGATCTCCTGTGGCAAGCGGGAGCGCGCAGAATGCGACACCAGAGCCTGAGGAGCCTGTTGCGGTTGAGGGTGTTCGCTGAGCCAGGCTTCACAAGCGGCCACGGCGGCGCGAGCATCCGTCTCAGACAAGGTTCGCAGATTTGACAGAAGGCGACTGCAAGTGGAGATGATGGCTGCAGCGTCGTTCGTGATAGCGTCGTTCATGATGGTGTCGTTCTTGATGGTGTCGTTCAAATGGTGAAATTCGCTTGATGAAGATACTGTAAGTGGCTACCTAACTACTTATGACCGTAACCGAGTGTAACAGGACCGGAGTACGGTATCCAAAGCGGTCAGGCACATGTTGCTCAAACGGACAGGTATTCGCGGCATTGGAAGGAAGGGGATATGTGCAGTGACGTTCTGCTCATTATTTTCTTGATACAATATGTATCAATGTCGGTTGGGTTTTGATTTGGGTTCAACGAGCAGAAGGGTGCGTGATTTGGTTTCAACGACCAGAAGGGTGCGTACTTTTGAAGCCAGATCGACGCGAGACACGAACAAATCAAGTCGCCGTAGCAGGTCAATCTCAGTTTTGAGAGCTGAACGCAAGGCAAAAAAAATATACCGTGAAGGAAGAAGGCGTT